ACTATGTCGTAAGGAACCCCAGAAAGATAGTAAAAAAATCCTCCTCGACCATAATATTGGTGGAAGAGTGAAGTTGAAAAATCAAATTCTTTATTCCCGATTTTTTTTTTTAAACTGCGATATTCCCTTATAATGTTTCAGGTGTCTTTTATTGATCTATGACAAATAAAATCACATAGGTAATTAAGTTGGACTTTTTATAGTGAGTTTTGCAAATTGTTAAATCTCGACCGTCTGGATCCAAAAAATTAATCTGGCAACGTAACTTTATTTACTTTCGATTTTTGCAGGTATGTCAAATGTTTTACTGGTTTTGATACACTGACAGTTATGACAGTATGTATGGTATGTATGGCGATTACCCACTGATCTCAAAAATAAATGGATAAACAATCGTACGGCTTGATTGGCTAAACTTGTGCAAAAATTTGGGGTCAATTTTCTACGAACAGTTGTGCAACGGAACAGCCTAACGCCTGCGCAGTGTCTTACTTTCGAACAACTGCTCTTAATTTTGAAATATCCTCCATTTTCATTGGCTATATTTTGCGCACGCACAGTACATGTATCTACACGCTCACAGCTGTCCCAGTTATTCACATTATGACCTCGTTAATTAGCAACATTGGGAGCGTTCTTTGTTTATCCATTTATTTTTGAGATCATTGCGATTACCTGCTAAGATATTGATTAGATAGATAGGACCTAGGACCATTATTAGAACAGAGGTATATTCTTATATGTATAGGTGGAAGTATTTAAGATGTTTGCCAATTTCACCACTACGTGTTCTTCTAATAACTTTGTTAAAATAGTAACTTTATATTAACAAATTTCTGTATGTTTGAGGTGGATTTATAATATTACTTTGCATTTTTTGGGACTTACACCTCAATTGGAATTATTATTATTTCAATTACTCCAAGACAGTTAAAAATTCTTATATGGTGAATTGGGAACAAAATAACATAAAGCTGCGACTAATCTCACTCGATAGAATTTATGGTCCTGATGAACATACTAAAAGTCCCCAGACCTCCTTCTAGGGGAACATTGTCAAAAGAGCGCCGCCATCTTGGATTTTTGACATTTTATGCTTAATTTACGTTTTACTCAAAATCTACTCATTTTTCGAGAAAATATGAGGAAAGATAAATTGAAGATCACAAAAAAACATTTAAAAAAAGTTATTTTTGGACTTCCTGGGTACTACCCTCACTGAGATAGGAGCTAAAGAAGTACTGCCAAGAAACAATTTTTTGCCTAATTTTCATTTTACTCATAAACCACTCACTTTTTAAGAAATATGAAGAGACGTAAATCGAAAAATTAAATCTAAGGTACATAGGTATTACCGAATATCCGCGGTGGTACCCTTACCAAGATAGGAGCCGATGGAGTACCGCCGACATAGGATTTTTTTTAGTTTTCTTTTTGAGAGAAAAGCATTAGCAAGAAATTTCAAGAGCGTGACTTAAAACTTATTTCTGATATGAGTACTCGCGTGCGGAAAGTGTCACTTTTCCGCAGGGATTACAGTTGGCCGAACGATGCGAAGCGGAGTTCTTCCAAGCAATCAAGTGAAGAAAAGGGATTTTCCGCACGAGTATGAAACAATATTTTTTATACTAGATGAAAATTGATACTTGTACCTCTACTTATTTCAAATACAATTTTAGATATTTTCCCTTTTCGCCCTAGTGCGGAAAAGTAATGCGGAAAAGTGACACTTTCAAAACTGAAATGCGTGCGGAAAGTGGGCTTATCCGCACGCTAGTGAAAACACCTTTCACGGCATTTATTAAAAATCCTCAGGTGTGTTTTCTTGACTTCCAGTCATTACATAACATAGTGGGCGTACTATATGAGTGATACGATTACGAACCACCGCAAACATCTGACTCGACTATCCCTCTTACTGAAGTATTACGTACGGATTAGATTTGAATGCGATACGAAAATACCAGAATAGTCGGGGTTTGAGGTTTGGAATGTGTTTTTTTTATTATCCGGTGCAGGGTCTAGTGTGATTGGCTGGCGTACTATATATATTCTCCATATTGACTTGACACAAACAGACACAAAAGTGAAGTTGTCAATTAATGTCAAATTGTTTACGTTTTTTTATCTATACTGTATTTTTTTCCAAGATGGATTTTGACATTGTCAACTTTGAAACATAAACAATGCCGCTTATTGGTCACAAGATGCCATTTGCACGACATGCATTGTAAAACTGATGTCAACCTGCAGATACACCTTATTTTGCGACCATTCAGGACTAAGCGCTATTGTTTGTTTCAAAGTTTTCGATGTCAAAATCCATCTTGGAAAAAAATAGACTTTATGTGAAATTATAAGTCATTTCCATTTCCATCAAAATACAATTTTGGTTGCCTTATTTTGCAGTTGTAGAAGAAGCATTGCAAAAAACTCGTTTAAACTGTCTCGGCCGTGCGAAAAAAGTCGTTTTCAAAATTTGTTGTTTAAATAACTATTGTTGTTATACAGGGTGTATATTTTAAGTGATACCACTATTGCTATATCCGAAACGGTGAGAGCTACAAGGGCGGTTAAATTAGAAAAAAGCTGCCTTTTTTGGTGCCCATTCAAGACTTGTTTACAGTGTTGCCAAATTCTCTTTAGTTTATGAAATACAGGGTGATTTCTAAAAAACGCCCAAAAATATTTCATCAATTATTTCGAAAACTATTGATTTTCGAGATACAATTTGAATTTGAAAGTTTTATATTTTTTTTTGCTCTACAACAAGGCGTCTTCAAATTTCAAATCCGACGTTTCGTGATCGAGCTACCATCATCAACTAAATTTTTTTAAATACGGACCTGGATTTTTTATTTCATTTTTAGAAAGCGCCCTTCTTTCCCTTTCTAAAAATTACATAAAAGATTTAGGTCCGTATTTAAAAAAACTATATTGATGATGGTAGCTCGATCACGAAACGTCGGATTTAAAATTTGAATATGCCATGTTTTAGAGTGAAAAAAATTATAAAATTTTCAAATTTAAATTGTGTCTCGAATATCAATAGTTTTCGAAATAATTGATGAAATAATTTTAGGCGCTTTTTAGAAATCACCCCGTATTTCGTAAAGTAAAAGGAATTTGGCAACACTGTAAACAAGTCTAGAATGGGCATCAAAAAAGGCAACTTTTTTCTAATTTAACCGACCTTGTAACTCTTACCATTTCGGATCTAGCAATAGTGGTATCACTTAAATTATACACCCTGTATGTTTGTAGGTACCTATCATAACAGAGTAAACAAGTTTCTATATGTATATGTAGTATGTAGGTAGAATACACGTTAGTAATATTAGGTTTCGTTGATCGCATTTGTTGTAAAACCTATTCTTAAGCGTTTAAAATGGATTTACATCAAATTTCCTACAAAACGCAACAACATTCAGTTATATTGCATATGGAAAGCGGTATTTCGGCGATACTTCTTCGGCTCCTATCTCAGTAAGGGTTGTACCCAGGAAGTTCAAAAATAACTCTTTTCAAAGGTTTTTTTGTGCTCTCTGATTTATTCCTCTTCATATTTTCTCGAAAAATGAGTAGTTTTCGAGTAAAACGTAAATTAAACAAAAAATATCAAACATCCAAGATGGCGGCGCCATTTTGACAATGTTCCCCTAAGGGGAAGTCTGGGGACTTTTAGTATGTTTATCAGGACCATAAATCCTATCGATCAAGACTAGTCGCAGCTTTATGTTATTTTGTTCCCAATAAAATTATAACTGTCTTGGGGTAAATAGATCAGGAAACTTCTGGTAATTCCAATTGACGTGTTACTCCCAAAAAATGCAAAGTAATATAACTTTATATTATTTCAACTATTTTTCTGGGGTTCCTTGAATGACGTAGTGGAGAGCCTATTCGCGATTTTGGAATCACCCAGCACATAATTTCTTGGATACCTTATTAATTTAGTTTTTAACTTATTGCGTTATATTTCAATACTTTCCGTTGATCAGTGTAGGAGGCCATGCTTGATTTATTTCAATAGTGGGGGGGTCAATAACCAATAACCCTGTAATACCTACCTATTTTATAAAGCTATAATTAAGTATATAAATAAAAATTCAAATAATTAAATTAATATTCAGAAAAAATAAGCACAAGATTCAGATCGTAGATAACTACCAACGCAAAATTAAATTCCTAACATCTGGGAGGTATAAGTAAATAATACTTAGATCGTATGCAAAAATAAAATAATATTTCCAAGAAATTCTGCAATGAATAAAGATTCTACCCCCCTCAAAATATTTAAAAAAATATACAGGGTGATAAGGGGAAGTGCCACCCTGTAACTTTTATGTTTTTCAAGAAAATCAAATGAAATTCGGTATATCAGTTTGATAAATACATAAATAATATGCATTTTCTGACGTACCTATTCAATTTTGTACCTTGTGTCACTGCCGATTTGAGCGGAAATTGTCATAATTTTTTCATTGTTAATGGGACACCCGGTATATTTTCTCTTATTCCGATAGAAAATAGCTTGTATGAGTACATTAACATCCCACAGCAAAATAAGTTGAGCTTTTAATTTTGAAGCAGCCTAAACGTTACCTTGTAAATAGACACAACTACATATTTAACAAAATGTTTTTTTTTTAACGTTTACTTCAAATTAAAAAAAAAAGTGTAGTTATTTATTTAAAAGCTTTCTAAAGAATTTCTGTCATGAATATTTCTGCTAGTAGGTACAAATCTAATCGCCTTCATTAGCACCGTGAAGCAACAACCAACACCCTTCTACCCTTAATAGGTCTGTCCCCTCCAGGTTCCGTTCCCGATTCCCGCTTGTACGTCACTGGACTCGGGTTATTTACCTCGCTCCAGGAATAGATTGGTTTCCCGTGCGCGCTCACATGGATCGCCTACTTCTCCTCCTCAGAGTATCAGCACAGCGATATAATTCAGCAGCAGTTCAGTCTGCACTATGGCTGGTTGACTGCTGCGTGGTTGACAACTGATTCGGCCGAAACTCCTTAAACCACGTGCGAGGTTGAAAGTGCATTTCGGTTTTTTTACCATACCAACTGCCGTGACGGACAGTTCGCTAACGGGATTTCTTCTCTGTACCTTGGTTGGACCGGTGAGTGACCGTTAAATTTATTGTGCTCTTATAGATGTTTTAACTTTAACAGGGCCCGAACCTTTTTAAAAGAACTTGAAAAGGGCGGTTTTTCTAAGATGTGCTCCGGATATTTATTTTCTATTCGCTTCCGAACTTTTACCTGCTGCATAGGCCTATAATGTCTTATTGACCCTAAACTGGTTTCACTTGAAATTAATTTAAATATATAGGGATGAAAGATAAACCTATCAATGTTTGGCTTAATTTTAATAAATTTTTAAATGCACGAATATAACTATGTCAAAAAACATATACCCAACTAGATAAATGAAACAAAAACTTTTTTTTAAACAAAAATACCTACTTAGGCCTATTTGTTACGAATCTGTAACACGTCAAACGACACGTGAGGGTGTTTTTAGTAGGTACTTAGGGTGAAAATATCTTCGTCCAAAATAAGTCGCAGCAATAAAAAAATATTAAGCCAATATAATTAATTGAAAACAATTAAAGTTTTAATTTTTTGCTACTATAAACAAATTAATATTGGAAAACACCTACTTTAAAAAACCATGCTGCAATAACTAATTGCTATTGTATTATGATGTTGTAGCATAAAATTTAAATTGCAAATTTTCATAATAATTAATAAGGCAAACTGACAAAAAATAAATTTGCAATGTGATTATTTCAAACAATAAACAATATAAGCTAGGCGACTTTTCAAAATGTTTGCGATCATAGTTTTTTCAGCCGCTAAACAAAAGTATAATTATTTAAGCTTGAAAACCTATCCAGGAGATTGTTTGAAGTTTTGTTTTTATTTTTTAAGCAATTCATATTGCTTTTTAGTACATTTTGAGGTTCAAAAACGCACAAAAATACTTCCAGCTGAAATCCAGCAAGAAGTTCAAGTAACATTACGACCATTAATCCAAGTCCTATTTCAAAAAAAACGCTCTAACTGGTTTGTGGATTTCTGTGAGGACAGACCTTTAATGTCGGCCAAGTGACAAGATCGTTTTAGAAATAAATGGTAATGTTAATAATAATTTTCAAAAATATGCTATAGAATCGAACCTTTATAAATTCTAATCCACTAGTGTATTAAAAGACCTTATTCAATCCACGGAAAACGGACGTATAGTTGTCGTATAGAAAGATTATTTAATATTCGGAATTTCTGGGACAAAATCAAAATATGCAAATATCGTTAAATCTGAACCAGTTTTCAATTTATCAAACTGACGTTGAAAAACGTCGGAAGCCTTTTAAACCTGAATAATGCTAAAGATTTATTAAATGCAGTTTTATCTTCATTACTGAAACTTGCCAATAACTAGATTTTAAATCAATTACTCTTGACATAAGTCTCGTCCATTTTGTCAATGTGTGAAAGATCATCACTTTTTTCGACATCCACAGTTGTATTCAGAAATAACTAAATGGTACCAAACTCGAAGATGTTATACCTACCTAATGGTAGATTTGGAACAATAAGTAGGTAGTGTTAACAAATTAACAGGAAGCCCATAATATGCTCGGATTGCTCAGCGAATAATTATTAGGGGTGGATCAATACTTTAATAAGTACAGAATGGCAAGGGCGCCACTGAATTTTAAAAAAATAAGGCATATAACTCAACCAAATCTTGACATAGGTAAAACCAATAAAACACTCAAACAATTTTCAAATCAAAATAGTATATGTCGGAGAAGCAGAAGCTGACGCGTCACCGTCCGACATAGTTATTAGTAACTGCCGACGTTAAATAAAAGCAAAAAAAAATGAAACAAATGAATTAGACGCGAAAAAGTTTATTACAATGATGCCGAGAGAAAACAATTTGATAGCACGGCGGCTGATATTTAAATGACTAACTATAACGAACTAATTTAACTTAAATTTAACTAATCGGCATAAATCAAAATCGAGAAAAGATTTTTAAAGAAAAATGAAATAGAGAATAGGAACTAGCGATCCGGGACCAGTTCTCTTTTCGACTGCTGACTCAAGTCCTCTCAAAAACTGACCAAACCATCCTGGTCCCGTTCCGCTCTCCTCAACCCCCCTTGTGAGAGTTGAGTGGTTCCCAAGCTTTCAGCAAATAAAACTTTATTGTCAAGCCAATATAATTTTATGGGTTTCCTTTGAGTCACCCCGAAAACATTTACTTACTACTACCGAACTTATTCTAAGAACTAAAAGGGTAAAGTAATAAAGTGTTTATCTTCTTAAACAAAATCTCAATACAAATACGGCTGTCGCCGACACGGCCACCTCTGACCTATCGCACGCCCTCGTGCGCTATTCTGCGTTCTGATCTGAAAAAAAAAAGAATCACCATTCTAATAACTTGTAGCTCGTTCATCCTGACAATAAATTTATCAGTCAAAAATCCAAATATGTACTCTCATATTAGTCATATTGAATATAAACATCCAATCGCATACCTCTCTCCGCTAGGCATCGATATCAAACACATACCACTACTAGGTATATCATTATACAATCTCATACCTCTTTACTTAGGTATAGATATCAAAACATACCACTAGAACTTGGTATATCAAATTACAATCTCATACCTCTCTACTAGGTATAGATATCAAAACACATACCACTACTTGGTATATCAAATTACAATCTCATACCTCTCTACTAGGTATAGATATCAAAACACATACCACTAGAACTTGGTATATCAAATTACAATCTCATACCTCTCTACTAGGTATAGATATCAAAACACATACCCAAAGGTATTCACAAAAAAAAAATCATAAATTTCTTACCCCTCTACTAGGTATAGAAATCAAACACATACCCTCAGGTATTTACAAAAACATCGCACTTATACCTCTCTACTAGGTATAAAACTCAAAACACATACCCTCAGGTATTAACAAAACAAAATATAAAAATACAATTATCCTAAGCAAATTACGATTAATTACAAAATGCGATCCTTGATTTAATGATCTACCAAAGCTAAATCATCCGCCTCTTGCTCATTAGTTACATCGAAATCAAACATCTCTGCACCCTGACCATTAGGCACTATTCTTAATTGATCATGGGCAAATTTACATAATGCACCTTTACCGTTTACCTTTTCTACCTGGTAACGATCATTAGGTAACACCTGAATAATTTTATAAGGTCCTCTAAATTTAGGATCTAATTTCGACAACATTCTCTCATTACATTTAGCATACACAAAATTTCCAACAACAAACGGCTTAATCTTGGCTTTTGAATTATTCAAACGGGTTTTATCCATTTCCGCAACTCTACCAATATTAGCACTAGCTATTTCTCTTAATTCGGACAAAGGAATGTTATCTTCGTCACTAACAAGTTCGTGTACTATTTTATTTAATTGTATTGAATGAATTTTAGTACCAAACAACAATTCTGCTGGACTAAATCCGGTGGTCCGGTGTTTACTACTATTCAAAGCTAATTGAACCTCGCCTATACTATCTTGCCAAGTACCCACTGCCTCTTGAATTGTAAACAAACTTTTGAGGACTTGCATCACTCGTTCAACCTGTCCATTAGCTCTACTTGCACTGTGTGCAATAAAATGCAACTCTATATTATTTGAGGAACAGAAAGTTTTGAATTCAGAACTAGTAAAACATTTCCCCTGGTCAGAAATAACACGACTTGGTGCACCAAACAAATATGTAAAATTTTTGAAAGACTCTACAGCTTGTTTACCCGTTAATGACGAGATATGATATAGCAAAACAAATTTAGTGAAAGCATCAATAATTACAAGAGCGTATTCTTTCCTATCACTTTTTCCGCTTAATTTTCCCGAAATATCAATATGAATGGTATGCCAAGGTTTTGGTACTTTAGGGATAGAATGTAATTGAATTTGAGTGGAACCTGATGTTCCCTTAGATGTTTTACATATTAGACAATTGCTGACGAATTTTTTGACGTTTTTGGACATATTTGGAAACCAATAGAAGTCATATAATTTGTCTAAAGTTTTTTCCCAGCCTAAATGTTTCAAGTCAACGTGAATATGATTGATAACTGACCATGCCATAGATCGAGGAACTATGGGTAACCACTTTGATTTATGACATCTTTCTATTTTCCGCAACAAAACATTATTTTGCAAATCATAGCTTTTTAACAAATCGGGTGCAAGTTCACGAGATTTCCATTTTGCCGTAAGCTGAACAATTTCGTCATCTCGCTGTTGCTCGACTTTTAGCCAGTCCTTTTCGATATCTAACAGTTGGATTATTTTAACTGTAGTGCGATTGTTATTAAAATTTTGGGCAATTTTTTTTTCAGGAATGGGATTTCGTGAGAAAAAGTCTGCGTGCTGCATACGCGCACCTTCACGATATTGAATATCAAAATCGAAAGCTTGCAAAAATGCCCACCACCTATGAACTCGAGGTGTTAAGTCAATTTTATTTCGAGAAGCCCTTAGAGAATTGCAATCCGTGACGACAAGAAAATGTTTCCCGTGCAAGAAATGTCTGAAATTTTTAACCGCGTTAACAACTGCCAATGTTTCCAACTCGTATGAATGATATCTAGACTCAACTTCAGTAGTACGTTTACTAAAATAAGCAATAGCATGCAGTTTTGAATCTTTGCGTTGTAACAAAACAGCGCCGTAACCCTCAGAACTGGCATCTGTGTGCAATTCAATTGGCAGTTCGGGGTCGTAAATAGAAAGCACAGGCTCTGATGTTAGAGATTTAATCAAAATATCACGGGCATTTTCGTGATGAGGTAACCATTTAATTGATTTTATGTTGCCTTTGGTTAGCTGATATAAAGGTGTAGCTGTTCGCGAAAAGTTTGGAATGAACTTACGGAAATACGATGCCAAACCCAAAAACTGGCGAATTTGCGTTTGAGTTTTTGGAATTGACAAATTGCGCAAAGCCGAAACCTTGCCTGGGTTGGGGCGAAGTTCACCCGCACGTACCAAATAACCCAGGTACTCGACTTCGGTTTTTAAAAATTTGCACTTCTT